CCACCTACCACCACCCTCCACCTTCCTGCGCTTTGCTCCGGGAAACGCTGGATTTTAAACCTCTCCCCGCCCGGCAGTGAGTGGGGAAGGAGGAGGAAGACATGGCCCAGGCCAAAATGCACCACCCCGTCTCTTGGGTGATCTTCGCCGGGATGGCCGCGCTCCTCCTCTCCCAAGGTAGGGAATGCCGCGGGGGATGCAGCCCGGGCGGGCGGTGGATGCGCGGTCCCACGGCAGCACCCTCTGGGGGGCTGTGGAGGGAAGGACCCCCCCAGAGCGGGGACGAGGGTCCCCCAGAGCTGGAACAGAGCTGGGAGAGGGTCTCCAGCCCGCCGTGAAGTTGCGGGGGGTGCGGATGCGGGTACGGCGGAGGAATTGCCGGTGCACCGGGCTCGGGGGTGGGGGGGAGCTTGGCGGGGTGGACACTTCTCCCATGGCGTCCTGATTATTTTTGAGGGTGCAGAATGACTCTGCCATCCCAGCATTATTCCTGCAGGATCAGCGCATCCAACAGGCTGAGGGTCAGGGGGGTTCGGGGTTCCTCTGCGGGTCCCCCCGCCTTTGCTTTTCCAGCAAGGTCGTCCCAAAAACTCGGTGCAGCCCCGCTCCCGCCGGGCTGGGAGTTGGGAAGTCCTTCCCCAGCCTGTCCCGGATGAGCATGGGTGCCCCCCCACCAGGGGGATGGTGCTTGGAGGGGAGGGGGGGCTGCGCGAGGGGAAAGAAAAGAGCAAAAAGCGATGGGAAAAGGCGCGGGGGGAAGCGGCGGCAGGAGCCAGCCCCATCTGGCCGGGAGCGCCGAGCCTGTCAGCTCGCGTTAGGCTCCTCGCAGCCATCTGGAGGGGCTGTGGGAGCGGGGTTTCCTCCGTGGGAGGGGAGGATGGAGCCGCATCCTGCCCCGGGCCGCCGCCGGAGCTCGGGATGCGCAGGGGGATGCGCCGGCGGGGGGGGATGCTGCGCCCTACGAGGCGGGCGGCTGGTACCCGGGGCTCCGGTGAGGGATGCAAGCGCTCCTCGGGGGGATGGATGCACCCCCGGGTGGAATGCAGGCACTTCTCGGAGCGTGGATGCACCCCCGGGGGGGATGCAAGTATTCCTCGGGGAGATGGATACACCCCCGGCGGGATGCAGGTATTCCTCGAGGGAATACTGCACCCCCGAGAGGGATGCAGACACTCCTGGAGGGGAGAGGATGTAGGTTTTTCTGAGGACGGATGCACCCCGGGGGGGTTGATCCCTCTCCACAGCCGGATCCAGCTACCTCTGCGCTGCTCCGAGGGCTGGGAATAGGAATCAGCCCTGCCTGATCCCATCAGCCGAGGTGCTCCGCAGCAGGACGCGGGTGGGCTGTGTGGGGCGGGGGGCTGGTGCGTGAGCAGGGACAGCGACTGGAGATCTCCCACCACAAACTTCTCTCTCCTGGGCAGGCTGGGCCCCTCTCCAGAGAGCCACCCGTGCGGGATCGACCCGGCGCGGGCTGTTTAGCATGCACGGCACACGCCACGGCATCGCTCCCCTTCGCCTTCCTCCCGCTCTCCCTGCTCTCCTTCTCCCAGGGTTGCTGCTTCCTGCTTGGAATGCCGGCATCCCTGCATGCCGGGGGCTTCCCTGGGGATGGGATCCCTGGCCCCCTCGGCTGCCCACCTCTGTGGGGTGGGCTGGGGCTCCCCAGGAGGGGGATAAAGCTGCTCCTTTCCCTCCTTCCTCCCCCTGCCCAGAATTTGTGCTTAGTTTATTTTAACATTTCATTATTTTATTATTTCATTATTTTATTATTTTTTGCAATGCTTGCTTTGGGGCTCCTGACTTGGCTTCCTTGCAGTCTGCCTCTGGTCATCTCTCCTGCTTCCTCTCCCTGCTCCCTTGAAAGCTGTTGGTTTTTTATTTCTTGCTTTAGTTTTTTTTTTTTTTTTTTTTTTTTTTTTTTTTTTTTTTTTTTTTTTTTTTTTTTTTTTTTTTTTTTTTTTTTTTTTTTTTTTTTTAATTCTCCTGGGCAGCAGAGCTGTGAGGAGGAATGTGCTGCCTCCCCAAGCCTAAAATCCCCCAATTCCCCGCCTTGCAGGAGTCTGATGTGAGTGCCAGAAGTCCCTGAGTCACTGCTGGGGTGAGGAAAAACAGGGATCCTCGTTGTTCCATGGTCTGGGAGGGACCCGGGACAGAGCAATGGGGTACTGGGTGAAATATTGCACAGGGCAGCCTTTGGCAGCAAAAACTTTGGGCCTTTTTAGGGCTGGGAGATACTGGGTTAGGGGAGGGAAGGAGTCCCTTCTTGCATAGTTGTATTTAAGAGTCATTAAAAACTAAAAAAAAAAAATCCACCGAGCAAAAATAATTTTGAATTTTAGCACAAACCTTTTAAGGGAGTTTTGAGAAATTTGGGGTCATTCACCCCAAAGGTAATATAAAAAAATCAGCGGTAATGTGCTGCTGCTTCATTAATTCTTCTGATATTCACAGTATTTTTTTGAATTTTTAAGTTTTCTCCTTTGTTTGGTGTCCAGAAGTGGGGCTGGTTTGTGTTGGAAAACGTGAAAATGATTGTCCTGCAGGAAAACTGTGCTTTGCACAAATCTCCTCCAAACAGCTCCAGAGACACCTGCTGCCCTCTGCAGCAGCCCATCCATCCTCCAGGTCATTTCCCTATTTACAGCCCAACAAACAATAAGAAAAGTGATTTGTGAGTGTTCTTGGGAGGAGAGTAGAGCGTGAAGTGGGATAATTCAGAAGTGCTTGACCACCTGCATTTGTGCAAACATCTGTAGGTCCTCCAAGTTCTGCAGATTCGCTGTCGGGTTTGTGGAATTGCGGCCCTAAAATGGGAGCTGCTGAGTTTTGTGTCCATCAGGAAGGAACCCTCTGAGCCCTGGAATGCCCAGAGTGGTTGGACATCGAGGGAGCTGTTGGGTGTTGATGCTCGAGAGAAAGGCCGGGGAGCTTGCTTGGATTCTCCATCCCCTTGGGAATGAGGTGGATGTGTCAATAGCATCAACTCATGGAAAAGACAGAGGTCCAGCCCTAAGTTGGGAAAAGGAGATGGGAAGGGTGGAGGCTGCAAGGGCTGGGATAGCCCCAGGCCTTGGGAAGTGAGTGGCTGTTTGGCAACACAGCTCCCATTGTGTTCTCTGGGTGAGTTTTAAATAGCAGCGAGGAAAATCCTGGATATCCTTAAACAGGCACCCAGCAGCGGCATTTTCTCTTCCCTCTCTCCCTGTTTCAAAGAAGAGGGGTGGTCTTGCACGTGCCTGGTGTCCCTGACCCCACACCCCACCCGGATTCCTCGAAGAAGAGGCGAAGCACCCAGAGAGGGTTTGAGAGACGAGGGAACTCTTCCCTCAGCCGCGCGGAAAAGGATTAACCAGGCTAAAAGGTCATAGAAGATTTAGCTGGGCCTTTAGCATCAGTAAGCCAAGAATTATGGGAATTTGATTTACAAATTAGCATAAAGACCTTATTCTAATAAGCATAGAAGCTGAAATAGGTATGTAAAATAATAGCATGTGTCAACATCCTACACGGAGCGTTCCTCATCCGAAAGAATTATTCGCTCGGTCGATGTGGCTGGGATGCAGATAATTCCCAAACTGAGACACAGGCTGTGCTGGTGTATGATGGAAAGGCTGGATCTGGCCCAGAGATGCATCCACAGGGAGGAGAGGCTGGGTAGTTCCCCATAGGAAGGGCAGGGTTTGGGATCACCACCTGAACGGGGGCTACGCATCCCAGAAGGACTTTCCCTGGGTGGAGGCGGGAGGGGAAACCTTCTGGCAGTTCCTGCAGAAGGTAATTGCACTAATGAATGTGTGTAAGAAAAATTAGGTGTATCGACGTCCTTTTGTGAATCCCTGGATTTATTGTTCCTCGGGAAAAATATTAGATGCGGTTAATAGTTACTGTGAGGGTCAATAAAATGTGATATTCACCCCAACAGCAGAAAATAGCTATTTAATAGGTAATAACAGTAATAATCAATACCTCCATGATTAGATAACCCAGTTATATGCAGTACATAAAAGCAGGGGAATGCACTCCAGTTGCTGGACGGCCGGATTTGGAGTGTGGCTGAACATCCGTCATTCCCGTTAATTCCAGGCGGAACCCTAGGCAGGTACCAGCACCTCTGGAAATCAGGCCACCACGTGGGATTAACTGGCTAATTTTTAAGACTCAGTGAAGGAGGCAGGAACCTGAGGAGACCTTTGCCACTGGAAAACGGGTTGCGTTGTGCAAAGCCCCGGGATGGCACCCGAAATGGTTGGGATTTGGGGCTGGGTGTGGAGTTGCAGGTGGGGTTTTCCATGGGAGTTTTCCGTGGGAACACCCCTGCGCTGAGCTGGTTATGCAGCAGTGGATTGGCAGGATATGGCAAGGGGTAAAGCTGTTGTAGTGGCTCTGCACTGTGAGTGTGGAGAGATCTCCAGCCACAGAGTTGTTGTGTGTTGTGAGTAACCCCAGAGTTGAGGGGAACGTGGGCTGGAGTGGGTCTGTGTTGTAGCTACAACAGATTTAGGAGCTCCAGTTGTGGGCTGGAGGCATGTGAGGTCCAATAAATGCTGACACATCTCAGAATGTTGTTGTTTGCTGTCCATAAAATCCAAGTGTGAACAAGGAACCCATGGTTATTTACACTGGGAGCACAGGGAGGGGAAAAAAACCATCATCTCAGACGTTGCTCCAAAGGTCTGGAGCCACAACCTGGACTTAGAGTTGAGCTCTTGGCTTCAAACAGGGCCCAAAATGAGCAAAGTGCTGGATTTTGGGATTCTATAGTGGAAGTCCAAGGTGGTGTGGGACTGCTCTGCCATTTCCACTTCTGGGATGGGTCACACTGACCGGTCAGGAGGAAGTAAAAATCATTTGGATAAGCAGGTGGGAGCTGTGAGCTGGGAAAAAAACTCCTCTGGTAAAACCAAAACTCCTGAAGCATCACAAGGACCATCCCTCTGTCCAAGCCTTTGGTGCTGGATGCTCTGGAGGCTGCACCTGGTTTTGGGACATCCTTGTGCTTATCCAAAGCTGCTTTCTCATTTCCAGGTAGGCATTTTGACCAGCATAATAAATAACCCTGGCTCATGGTTTTTCTGCCTTCCTCTGATGGAGACAAGTGCAATATTAGAAGTTCCACAAGATTGGAAGTGTCTGCTCTGTGTATTTTTCTTGCAGTTTTCACTTAAAAATACCCA